CCCACAACGAACGTGGGAAGGTGAAAATATCATTTCATCTTGTTATGCATCTTATATCGGTATTATTCAGACGTGTTCAGGGGGCAAACAGCTGCACACTGCTCTAATAGTTGTCAACCGGTATATCCGTTACCAAATCTACAATTCAATACTGCTGTAAAGAGATAAGATGGAATTCCAATGTCACGTGTTTTTAGGTGACTGTCTAACGTCACAACAGGCATTGAACGCTAAATAATTCTTCAAAGCTGCAACTCAACAATTCCAATAAGACTGCAGTATGCACACTTTTCACCTTCAATGATTGGGTCATACTGATTCACATTTCGAAGCGACATGGAATCAATACTCACTGCTTTATGTAAAAAAATGTATACAACAATTTGTATCGCCTAAATATTCTCGGTTAGTGAATATTAGTACTGTACCAAATAAATCTCAGTTATGAGGAAACGGTTTCCGTTGAAACGAAGATTTTCTTTTTCTTCCATTTTGTAAAAAAAAATGTGTCAACATCTGAACATTAGGGAAATTCAAATTTTAGATCATGTTGGGTTATTTCCAATTGAAACGGGTTGTTCACATGATAATTTTCAGTCTAAGTCTAATTTCATTATACAAAACTATATGCAATACTGTTATCCTTAGGGAATATTGAACAAAAATGTATTCATAACTTAATCACACCAGTTATCGCTATGGTTACCATATTATATATTATATTATCACGTTGATGACGCTACAACTAAACCATGAATATTAAATACTAGATAATTATATTGTCATTTGCATAGATAACATCTGCTTAACAACATTAGGTTGCACTTATTCAAAATCCCTAATGTTTTATCTGGAAATACAAGTGACGCAAGGGCCGTATCACTACGAACCGTGTCACTACGAGCCGTATCACTACGAGCCGTAGACAAGTAGTAATAAATCTCTTACATCGCGAGTTTTTCCCCAGATAAACGAAGACACACATTAGGAATTGTTGGTTTATCAAAATGATATTTTTGTATTTGCTTTTCTATGACGCTCTGTTGGACTTTGTTCTAAAGAATATACATGTATTCATGCACCGCACACGCTTTCTGTGTTTATGTATTGACATATAGCGATGCCGCTATGACGCAGGTTTCGTATGAGCGTTAACATAATATTCAGAACTTGATATGATGCTTTAGGACTATTCTCCGTGGACTGCGCAATCTGTTGCAATGATTTTTGATCGTCTACTTTGACGCCATGACTTGTAAAAAGTACATTTTAAGCAAAGCGACGACCCATGCTCTGAAAAATAGCAACATTCCCAGTTGTAACAAAAAAATGCACATCATGAACCTTATCACATGCTTTGGAAATGTAGTGAATAAAACTTGAATTACTGACTTGTACACAGGCAGAACAACTGAGAAACCGTTCACAGCATGCATGATGCGCGTTTCCAGAGATTATGTACTATCTCGTATTTACCATACTTACCAGAATCCGTAGTTATTGGAACCTATACAAATCCGGATACTCCGGGCAATATTGCGGTAGCTCGTACTCATACAAACTTATAAAATAAGTTCTGTAGTATGTGACGTCAAAATATGTGATGCGAATTTTCGATCTGTCTTGTATTACGTCACAGTATGGAGATACGCACGTCATACATGTGAGGAAGACTCACATCTTATCTCTTGTTTAAATAAAAGGAACATGGAATTAAATGCAATATTATAATCTCAAGGTAGAATTTCAAAATGACATTTTTGATGTTCATTTAACAATCAATAAATACCTAATATATATGTTTTAGTCTTTGTTGTGATGTATCTATGACTGATCGGACTACCTGTTGAATTGCTTGCAGAAACATTGGGGTGAATATATGTGTGAATTATACTCCTGTCGGTGACCTAGTATTACCTACAAAACATTTTTTGCATAATCCGCGTATCAATCAATGCCTTTCACCATTCATACCGCTAAATCGATAATGTACTTTTGTGGATGTTCGCACTGTATTGATATTTAGACATAAAACACATTATTTCCACCAAGTGTTTCATCAAATCCGTGTGATGACACAGCTGGATAATTGAAAAATGTATGTATCTAATGTTCTCTTTTTCCCATAATCTGAAATGTGAAAAGTATGCACCAGTCAGTGCACGCATGCGCACTGGTTTTATTGGCGAATTGATAGGTTAAATACTCACAAAAATTAGTTTTGTCTTCGGCGATTCACCTTCGCGATACATACAGTGACTGACATAGGCTCTCTAGCTTAGTGAAAAACTAAAATATGGCTGCTTCCAATTCAAGTTCGCGTAACTAGATGATATTTCCGCATCGTATGGCTTTAGTCTGTATGCAGGTTAGTGTTTTATAGCCATTTTACGGATTATGAGTCCGGCCTTGAGTAAGGAAATTCACCATATGCAAATCCAGTAGTGATTTCTTCAAACCTCACTTTTTCGAATCAACTATTACCGGGATACCACTCTGATTTATTTTATTTTACCTTTCGCAGAATAGATTTATCCAACTGATATTAACCGATATAATATATCCGTGTCTCATGTAAGCCACCAGAAAGGTACTTTTTGAGTTACGCCTGACGCGATATATATGCAGCGAATCATTGTGTAAATGTTTCTTAAAAACACGTTTTAATGTCAAATATAGTTAATTTGACAAGGTCAGGTATTTGGAAGCGGAAGCAAATATGAAGTACTGTCATTTAGTTCCCAGAACGCGGTACGTAAGTGTATTGTGGATCAAAGTAAAAACAATAATACCGTAATCTACATTAAAAGGCGGCGGTAATTCCATATGACGTATACAACACGTGTAAAATATATTGTTAGTTTATCTGAAATTCGAAATTCACACCATAAACATTTTATCTACATAAATGGCACAATATTTCACTACAAATTCTTCGCCGAATATTTTCAATTACGGGGATTATGCAGGTTTATTTTGTGAAAGGTCGCACACATTGACCTTAGCGTGCGTTCAACGGGTTAATCTTGTTATCAGAATACGGTGGTTTATTATTGTCGGATGCACATTTGGGACATTATAGTGGCGCATGTGCAGAAGGTATTTACTGTCATAATATAATTGTTATTTTTTTTTTCTCCAATGTTATAAGCACGTCTGTCAGCATAAGGACTGAAAGAGACAACGTAACAGAACACTACATAACTGTGTGTGTGACTCCATTTGAAATATCAACAACCCTATATCAAACTTGTTCCATATACATCGCATATTTATGTCATTTTCCATCATGTGATATATTACTGAAAATGTTACTAATGTTAAGAATCCATACTCTATGCTTGACTGGTACATTCTCGAGGCATGTTGCGGTGCGTACATGGCCAATTATATATATATACCCTACACCTAGTGACAAATTCATGGGAAACTACTTCCTGATTTAATAAAACACGAGCGTATGAAATAGAGACACAAATAAACTTCCGGCTTGAAATAGTTCTAGTAAATTCAACAAGAATACCCCCTGAAAGTCTCCGATTTGAAAAACAAATGCTTAGCGCAGAAAACTTATGAAAAAAAAAACGTACATAGAAAATTGCTGTAAAAAAGTATATTCATAAAACAAAACAAGATTGAGAAGGTTGCACAGGCAATTATTTTTTGCGCAATCGCTCGATGAATATCACATCCCCACATTTCATTTCTACAGAAATATATCTCAAATTGAAATTGACAGATGTAATCGAAATTTTAGTATTCTTGACTGAGGATGATTTCAAAGCCGTAATATGATGACGTTTCTCCGTAATCGAAATTTTGCTTTATTGCACATAAAGCCAACCTTAATCAATATATGGCAAATAACCACATTACATTTCGAAATATGCATCCAAGGTTTTATTGCCGTATCCACACATTCTAATATGGCGCCCCTTTGATTTTACTGTCGACGCCATTCTTAAATCAGCCAATTTAACATTCATTAAGCATTTTTAACATCCGATATCATAGTTTGAATGCTACAACAATACACCGTCCCTACTTCGTCAGTTGTTCAGTCATCCAGTAACTACGAACCTTCTACTAGAAATTCGCCTGACCGCACCATATTTCATTTTAAGTGCCATCGAAGTGTACGTTCATCCGAGTATTACCTCTGTGAGAGAATAAACAACAGAGCTCATGTCGTACATACTTAGCTCACGTGACGTGATATTGATGGAATTCTTCTAGTGCGATAGATGATATCGCTTCGTTCGCGGATAGACGGTGATAGTGATAAAGCTGTGTCTGTCTACGCGTGCAATGCAATACCACAGAGAAAATAAAGTGAGATACGTTTCGAGAATATGTTAGGAGAGAGAATAAACGTAAAACCACCAATTTGATCTCCGGGCAAGCGCTGCGGATACATTGTACAACACTTGTTTGGGCGACAGAGCTACAATTACGAGATGACTGGCGGCGTTGAAACACCCAGTTTCCAAACCATTTCCCGGGTCTTACTATAAATGTCGCGTCCTTACTGATTATCAAACCTAACGTTGCCGTTTTTGTTACGACGGGCTGATTTACTGTTTCCTCTCCATTTCTGATTTACAAGCTTCCCCATCAAGATTTACTATAGTCGCATTTCATCTGTGTTTAAAAACACATTTCCTCAATGTATATAACTTGCAATCCAATACAATTAACATAAACACATTGACAGGTAGTACTTAATCCATCGTCTGTGTTGAAATAGTTTATATTGTACGCTCTCTACTGCGGGTTTGTACGTTCTGATTAAATTATACGCTTTCGCCTTTCTTCCAGAACAATACTCACTGTGGACGTGTCTACGCTGTGCGGCTCTGTGAGACGCCTTGAATGTATAGAGGTATTGAAACCCGGCCCTTCTATTAACAGTGGTGCATTGGATTTTAACAAAACGGAGGACCGATCAACCAGCCAATTCGCTAATGAACTAACGGGTACTTTGGAATAATCTAGCTAAAATGGATTTCGTACGTAATTACAGCAACGAAACCAGGGAAATTCAACCGTATTTAAAGAACGGTCCTCTCATAACAAGCATCTATATTTGCGCCTATGTGTTCATATTTCTTATGTGTTTGATTGGGAACTCATTAGTATGCCTGGTCGTGGCCCGGAACCCCCGTATGCATACAGTTACAAACTTCTTCATCGTAAATCTGGCAGTCGCTGATATACTAGTGGCAATATTCTGCATGCCTATTACACTTGTTGGGAATATATTAGAAGGTAAGTTACGTTTGTATTTTGGGTATGACGTAAGCACCTTTCTAACATACGTATATGAGATTGATTTCGGTGTATGTTTCAATATGATGTAGCATAGAAATGCAACAGCTACATTGCTACGATGTGTCTTGTATAGAATATACAGCCAATACTGTAAATGATCGTCTCTGATGACTTGTCACTGGCGGCCCTGGCACCATATTAAAGTTTCTGTGGTTTCACAAAATTATTTGGTACTCATCCTCCAATAAGCAATTGCGTAGTATGGAATATTTTAAAACCGTTCAACACGTATACGCACGTCACGCATTTGAGGTTGTGTATTATATATCTAGAAATAAAAGAAAAAGGGTGTTTTTGGATTCGATTTTTGACTATTTCAAAAATCAAAAAGTTTCATTTTCCGCCTATTTGTCAATTCTAATGAGTGCCTGCGTCAAACTATAAAACCCAAGAACAAAACTAGGGTGTGGATATGTTGAATTTGTAACTTGACAGGACGGAGGTAATATCAAAACCCATACCATAAGCCATGTAGATTTATGCCATGGCGTACACAGTGCCAATTGTCCGGTGAAAAATTATCATTCTGTCATATCCGTACATTTTTGGCGAACTATTTAAAAATTGAGTGTAATCATTTCGTCCGGGCATAATTATTTCGAATGGGCGACCCCTTATTATAAAATATAAAAAAATTCTCTGAGTGGCTAAATATAAGTGATCTTAGGTAGCGCGACTTAGAAAACAGCGGTGTAACCTCGATAGTCACGTCCTATGTACTGTGTATAGTCAACGTTATATCAATCAACCAACACAAACTTCTACCTATCTAAAAAGTTTCTCTGCCAGGCATATCCAATCACGTGATTTGTATTAATCTGTATTCGTTAGTACGACTGGCAAGTACTCCACGAGACGAGAATGTGCAGAGCCGCGCCATTAATTCTCATCTGCTCTTTAAAAGAACACCCTTTTGGTTCTATTGAATTACGTCCTTTGTATTGTACTACCTATAATGACTGAGGCTAATTCAATCATCCTCACTCGGTCACTTGGATGCAAACATGTTGTGCGTGAATATTGTAAATTATTTAGTCGTCAAAATGACATAGACACGATAATAGAATGTGACACAGAGTGAGGGAGATGTATTCCGTCCTTAAACAGATAGTCATTTCCATTGTACGAGTAACGAAACTAATTTATTCCACCATTATTTATCCGAATGGACTCATTTTCAAACAACAAGAGTTCCTGCGGGAATCTCTTTACGAATTCGTGATCTATTTATCAAGGAAATATGCGGAAAGCAATGATGTGATATTCGTGAAGAATCATGTCAACACATTCAGTGTATTTGAAAGTTAAAGGCGGTGATCGTCACGCAGCGCTCATTCGACGCGTCGTGTGGGACCCATATTGAACACGACGCGTCGTACGACCTCCGTCGCGGTCTTTAAAATTTTCATTCTGTCAGTAGGTGTATTTTCTACGGAAGAATTTTGAACAATTATTTCATGCATTGTGCGTAATCCCCCGTGCATTACTGGGTTATTTGACTCGGTACTCGGTTCAAACTATGACCCGTCCTTGCCTTACTGGAAGATTTGATGTGACGTCACAAAGTATGCCACGTACCATGCACATTGATATACCAATCACATATCTTTATGTAAATCACCACTGTGCTACTAATATTTACTCAGCACTAACAATATACAAATCTGAATTATTAGAACGGAACCGATATTTAACTTTAAGACAGGCATGGGACACTCTGAAACTATTGGTATGGAATGAACGCAGGAAATGACAGGGATTTTAAAGTGTTTTGCATTTTTGGTTTTAGCGTTTGTGAGGTTTTGATTTTGAAATTATGTTCTAATTCCTATTGTGCTTGTTAAATAAAATTACTAACTATTGCAATTGTTTTAGATTTATGTTATTAGTCCCCGTTCGGATGCAGTTAGGACTATTATATTGACTACTGTGCGTCCGTGTGTCCGTGCGTCCGCGTGTCCATGCGTTTGGAATTATATGTTATACATGCCTGGACCGATTACATTTAAACTTCACACATACATCGTACATAATATTATACATTGTACATCCATTTGTTTCACGATCTGATTCAAGATGGCCGAATAGCGGCCATTCATGTACTGAAAAATCATCAAAACCAAGCATTTCTCGGCTGATGGATGTTGTTCAAACTTGGTACATACATTAGACATTATTGGTTATTGATAAACGTCATTTTGTTTTGCAGACTGATCAAATTAAAAATGCCCGACTGGCGGCCATTTTGTTCAAATCAATGCGGTTCTAGTACCATATCTCTGACATACTTTGACTGATCGAGTTCAAATTTTATATATTTATTATACATCATAGATATAAATATGTATTCAAAATGGTGGCCGTTTTTTTAAATTATTGCTGTTCAGAGCAATATGGAGAAGTACTCGTTTGATGATCAGATACAAGATGACTGAATGTCAATTATTTTTAATGTTACAAAATATCATAATTAAGTATCACCTTCTGGATCCATAACTCTTGACATGTATCTTAAATTGGATATTTAACGGAGATTGTGCCATGCATGACTTTTATCTTCACTCTCACCAGAGGCGTTCCTTTCATCTTTATAGATATTTATGAAATTCATTATTCAAATCTAAACGTCAAGTTTTATTGACCAATTGAATAACAGTGAAATGTTTTCAAATAAAATCCTCACACACGGTGCTTGTTGATTGGCTGCTTTCAACAGCGATTGGAACTCGGACATATCTTATAGATTAAGAGAATGCCATTGTTGTGCTGAGAGTATTACATTTTTCCTTTGTTATTGTTAATCCATATATAAGTTTTAAGTAATGAACCTAAACTCCAGTGTTATGTGACCTTCATTCGTTATGTTCGTACGCCGACTTGTTGATGTATGTTATCGTTTAGCGGATATTAAGCAAACAAAATGGCACGAAACAACAATGAAATAATACTAGTACTGGTAATATAAAGGCGCTGTTTAAGACATACATGCATATGTTTTAATTTATTAATTAACTTGACCAGAATCTTGTATTTCTCGATGTTCTGGTCCCATGTGGTTTATCCGCACATGATACAGTGACGTACGTGACTAACTTGTTGTGGCGACGGGTGGCGATTGTGCGCCGTCCGAATGCGACCATGGATGTCCATGATGCGAGTAACGATTCTGACGTTGTTTATTTTTTCAGGATGGCCATTTGGTGTGATAATGTGTAAACTGACGCCAGTTATACAAGGTTTGTCGGTGGCTGCATCCATATTCACACTCACTATCATTGCAATAGACAGGTAAGGTTCATTTATTTTCAAGGAGGAAGGGGATGTATATCAACCAGTAATATAACAAGAAAAATACCCACCTCAAATTAATATTCCAAAATGTGACTCCCTTCGATTACAAGTTCTAAAATGTGCTCACTCATTTCGAAAGTACAAATAAATTTATATCATATGTGTCACTTTGGTTTCTACAATGTTCTGTTGACAAAATATATTTTTTTAATATCAATCAATTTGTGATGTGGCAATGCTTTATTCATATCGCATACAATAAACATGTGTATGAGAAATTAGTCATGGTAGATTATCACACAAGTGATTCCGGAATACCAACACCTGCCTCGGTTGTTATTTTACAATCAGTACAAACATTAACAAAAAAGGTGCCGTACTATTTTATCAACGACATTTAATTTATATAATTTCATTCCAGCTAATTTGGGAAACTCTTAAGTGTGATATCAGAATGTATATTGACAGAGAATTAATGCATGTTAAGTTTGAGACTCTAGTATTGTAATTGTTGCAATATCGCTCAACGTATTCAAAGAAGTGTGCTAGCATTAATATCAACATTTAAATGTTGTAACTAACTTGCATTATACTAGTGTCTCAGACAAGAATGGTTTTTAGGTGATTTAAATGAGAGTGTAGTAATTATATTCAGGTTCTTGTGTGTTACATTAAAACAACTACATAACGTTAATTATCGGGTTCCAGTTTTATGTGTGTATAGGCATATTCCCTCAAGCGTTTTCCATGAGAATTAAACAAGTGGGAACACCTGGTGCCAATACATGTACTGTGTTTCATGGTCATTGAGGCAGCTCAGCATATGTAATGTGACTTGAGCTGAAATGTGACCCACTTAGGGAGGTAGTCATCGCGCTGCGCCTGTACGACATTTGTGTTCATAAACATTGAGTTTCCCATAATCCAATGCGTTCTTATAATGAAAATCACAAGTGTGAGGTTTGATCTGGGCGTGACTTGCACTGATTACCGCCGTTTACTCCTTCGACAACTCAGTCTAATCACCTAAAAAATCTAATTAAAGCTTTTTAACGTCTCAGTTTGTACTCTTCGCAACAGTCACAGTTGCAATCTTTGTTTATATGGACCCTCATTCTCGCGCATGCGTGGCGCGACGACTACCGCCCTTTAAACAAAATATGTAAAACTCGCACTGTGACGCTTGCGTAAAATTGGCCTCCCCGGTTGCACCGCCCGTCTTGATTAATAACAAGCATCAGATGCACAATCTTACAAAATTATATATTTACTGATTGAGCTGTATGAGCCGTTTCCGTTTAATGGACATTCACCGTTTGAATAAATTAACAAGTTATCGGTCTTTATAAACATGCTACATATTTTTAACATTGAATTTATATTATTAATACTTACTATTATGGGGGGCATATACCAATTCGAATTTAAAGTTCATTTCAATCGACTTATCGGAACGCATGAACACGTGTATGTGCGCAAAATACTTAAAGCGGGGGAGTCGTCACCTGCGCATGGGTCAGATGGTCATAGCGTGTCAGTGTTTACAAACAAGCGTCTACCCATGA